ACTTCAAACCTATAAGCAGCATGAGTAACAAGATTACTTCTCTAGTCTCCTGTCTATGTTACCATGCATATGGCTTCAGTGTAAGACTGCTGCTGTCAGAGGACTTACCTCTTTGTGTCTGACTAACGAGATGCGCAGCCGGGTTGGGCCTTCTGAAATCTGGTTTTGTAATTTAGGACATTGTGGCCAAACTTGTTAACAGCGATGAAACTGTCACATAGTTTCTTACTCCAACTATTTTTACTGTAAATGGTTACGTAAAGGAGTTGGTCTACCTGTGAACACTGTGTGCTGTCCTGCAACGCCTGACCGAGCACCGCACTGTATTGTAGATACTGCTCTCTGCTTAGGAAGTTTTAGTACCTTTATCTTCCAAATACTGCACAGCAGCCTGCTGACTCTTAACTACCACCTAAATACAAGGGGCACACAGCTAGTAACTCAAACTTTCTGGCTTACTCTTTGCATCTGACTTTCTTCTTAGGGATGTTTTGTTCTGTTGTCAAAGGCTCTTTGCCTCTCTAGCAAGACTGTATCTTGCTGGTGCATGCTGCCCTTTGCTTTAAGACTTTCAGTATCTGTTACTGCAGTAAGGGAATACTTCAGGTTCCATTTTAATGACCTAGAGGAGCGTTGTGTTGGTGAGTGACTCCCTTAGCATTAACTGCAGAATGTTCTTTCCTAGGAAGTATTACATCCCTGTGGTGGGACCCTGTTCAACGACTGCTCTTCTCAGGTGCTTCTGATCACAGCATTATCATGTGGGATATTGGTGGAAGGAAAGGGCGAACACTGCTGCTCCAGGGACATCAGTATGTAATGGTGTCTTATTTTTCCTACTTGTTCTGTGATGAACGCAGAGTCCCAGGAAGACTAAATAGCACGGCAAGATAGTTGAATCTTTGTGAATAATGGAGAAGAGAATTTTTTGCAGAACTCTGAAGACTTTGAGGGTGAAGAAGGATAATCGATATTAGGAAAGCATCCTTTGTTTTGCTCATGTTTGACACTTCTAAACCATAGGTAATGAGAATATAACACAAAAGTAGGTTATAGAAAGAGGTGGGTAAAGATCCTAAATCATCTTGCTTGGACTTTATGTAAAAGTTGCATGCTTCTGTATTGTAAATACTTCACTGACTTGTCTGTGAGGGTGGGGCTGGAGACTTTGTGTACCCATGTAGAATAAGCTTCAATATGTTCTTGTTCTCTGTCTCTCCCTATCAGTGAGGTGATAAACTGATTGGCTGAATTACAGGGCTGGGTCTCCAGGCTTCAGAAGAGCATGTCACATCTCCGCTGTTCTGTGGATTACATAGTTGTCTCTATTTAATCAGCTCTTTAATTTCAGAGACACAACACTAGCTGCCAATTTTACATCTCAGGCCTTAATTCAGTCTGAGAGGCAGTTCACCACTGAAGATATATTTTACTTAGAAATGCAGAGGTAGTAGAGATCTTGTTTACGTTTAAAGATGTATTTGTATAGTGCATTCTCCTCTTGTCTAATTCCATAGATGCCTCCATCCACCTTTGATCAAGACTGATAGCCTTAGCCCTAGAACTCTTGTTAAATCTTGAGGATTTAGTTTTATGGCTAAAGAACTAATAATAGAATACTGGTTACAAAACAGTAACTGAAGTCAGTGACTGGAGGACTTTATACTGCTGTTACTGCTGCATCATGTGTCCTGGTGAAGACTTATTACATTATTAGTTTCTCTTCAGACATCACACTTAGCATCAGACTTCCTACTGAATGGGAAAGTAAGTTCTTCTGAGAAGCAGAATGGCTTTTTAAATTCAACTTAGATGTTGCAGAGCAGTCTAATACTGTTGAGATCCTTTGTTTAGTGTCTTAGGGTAGGCTTTTTTTTTTGCCATTACTCTTTATTTAGGATTAAACTGTCTTGGTGAATGCATGCTTTGCTTTGCATTGCAGCCACTGACTGTGATTTCTTAGCAAGAGTGGAAGTTCAGTCTGCTTCCTAGCTGTATCTTCAAACACATATTTCTCTTTATTCTTCCAGTTCTCTTGATAACTGGCTCTCCTTGCCAACACAGAAGAGAATTTGCAGGCACACTCTGAGGCAGTTGACACCCAGCTCACTGTCAGTGCTTACTGCCAGCAGATGTTAACATGGAGCTGTACCTCTGCTATTCTGGTCAAGCCTGTAAGAACACTGTTCCAGGCAACGTGCTGATACTGTCACTACCCTAGCATCTGCTCACTCATCATCATAGCTCTACTTAGTAGACTTAACAAAGTGTTTGGAAATCAGTTTTGGCTTCCTGGGTAGCTTTACAAGGATGAACGGGGGTCTGCTGGGAAGCTAAGCCTTGTTTGAATCCCTATGGGTAAACAGTGGCTACTTTGTTTGCAGTGACAAGGTGCAGGCTATCTGTTACATCCAACTGACACGGCAGCTAGTATCCTGTTCAGCTGATGGGGGAATTGCTGTTTGGAACATGGATATCAGCCGAGAAGAGGTAAGATCACATCCTAGGTCAAAGATTGATTTTATTTACCCCCCTCCTCCTTTTCAGAGGCTGATGTGGCGCTGCTTAGTCAGTTCTGCAGGCTGTTTTCATGATGTTGCTTGAAATTTTAAGGCTGAATGGTGTTATTAAAGCCTGCTCTGTTCTAGTGGCTGTCCATGCTGCGTTGTAGCAGATGGATTCTAAGGACGGAAGAATGCAGGACAGGCTTGGGACTGCTTAGAGTCTTATCTCAATGAGACAATGTGTTCTGTTTTAGAGAAACAAAAGGACTGTGTTTCAGCAGTCTTGAAATAAATTCTCAGCTCATGTCAAAGCAGGTAAGGTGAGACGCTGTTTATGAGACGCAGTTTAGAATGTAGAGGTTCGGTCCCCAGACAGCATTTTTTTTAAAGACCTCGGTGCACAGCAGCTGCCCCTGCCAAGCACATTCTTTCTGCACTAGTTTGTATCTATCACAGGAGCTGAAAAGATGTATATTGCTACTATCTGTGGTTAAACCATAATTACAGGAGTTAGTTTTGATTGCCCCCGTAAAGCTGTATTTAAGGCTTGCCCTGTTGCTTTTCCTTAAATGTGAGTGTCATGATTAAGAGCTGTTTTCTGACATGCGTTGAGCTGTCACCTGAAACACACTAAATGCTGTCTGTGACACTCCTAACCGTTTTGGTATGATGATCTCTCTTGTGTGTCTTTGTAGTTGCAAGGAATTGACTTACAATATGATTGGAAAAACAAGATGTGGCAGTTCTTCTGCATGCAACTATTAAGGAACAGTCTAAATAATAGACAGCTTTAATAACATTTAAATAATACAATGAACTTAGAACAGTCATGATGTCTCAGAACTCATTGGAAAACCATAATCAAGCCCAATCCAAAACCAAAGAAATGAAATGTCTAGAACATACTGTGTCTGAAGCATTAGCTAACAAGTCATTTTAGAGGGTATCTTCAGAAATGCACTAATGCACGTAAGACTAGAAGGCAGACTTTTTTGAATAAAAGGAATGGTAACTCCATTGAGAGCCGTGCTATTCATCTTGGGCAGTTCCAACTCTGTGTTGGTGGTAATACTGGTAGTGTTGTCAGGTTTTTACCTCTTACTTTATCCCTGAAATTAAGATGAAAAGAAAAGGAAGATATCCCGTTTTTCTGTTAGAGGGAGCCAAAAAGTGCATTGTCTTCTCAGAAATGCTATTAGGTGAAAACTGCTATTGGAAGTAACTGAAAGAAGCAACATGGAACATTTCACTTGATGGAGAGACAACTCATCTCCTCTACTCTCCTCTCCCCACATGCTGGACTTGTTACTACCCTTTACAATATTTTCCATGGGGAAACAGCAAGAGGGAGGGAAGGGGATGTAATCAGTGTTGAAGATGGGCATCTAGTATTAATAAATATTCATGCTGAGATGATGGTGCCACTGACAGTACTATTGTTTTATTACTATCAACAATGAGTGTAAGTGAACTGAGAAGAAATGCTTTTGTTCCAGCTTTCCTCCCATTGGGTTTCAGAGAGACTCTCCCATCAGATGTGTGACGTTGTATAGAATATACATGTTCTAGTTCAAGTCTGTGTACTAAATATTGTGCCTCTCCTTCTGTCCTTTACAAGGATGCTCAGCTTAAGTACTCAAGTGTGTTGAAATATGTGAAAGCTCTGCTTTCGTTTGGCTTAGTCCATTTTTGGCATGAAACATGTGGGTGAGAGAAGGTATGCTTAATGAAGATGTGGGCAGGATGGCAAATGCAGATGAATCCTCCATTCTTTCAAACTGCAGACCTAGGGAAGTAGAAAAGATACTTACTTCTGGACTGCCCCCCTCTTAGCAGGGATGACTGCCTCATAGCTTCTACAGCTTGGATTACACTAGCCCCTAAAAATCATCTGGGCAACCAAAGCAGTAGTCTTTGAATGCCTGCAGCAAATTTAATAACTTACATGTTTGAAATAGTTTTCTTATTTAGGCAGTAACATAATATACTGCCATGGGAGGTGTGTGGGTAACAGATAACTGTAGTCTTGGGTTTAGGGGTTTTTTTGTACTAAACTTCCTGTGTATTGTACCAAAGGCAATCTGTTGTTGTAATGTCTAGAGGTGAGGCAGGGCATCTTTCCAAGTAAAATTTTATTTTAGGTTCTTTAAACAAACTTCCTTGGCCGTTGTATGAGGAAATATAATTCACATTGCTTGCATCTCTTGCTCTTTTGTAGGCTCCTCAATGGCTAGAAAGTGATTCCTGTCAGAAGTGTGAACAACCTTTCTTCTGGAATATAAAGCAAATGTGGGACACAAAGACATTAGGGTTGAGACAGGTGAGATTGCTGACTTAAGTGCTTAGCTGTACTTCAGCACTTAAGCTTAAGTAAACAAAAACCACTCAAGCTGGCAGATCTTTTAAACTGTCGGTATTTTTGCTGCTTTAAAGTGAGGGTTTCTTGAGAGGTCACAGCTTCTAGGCAGTGCTAAGAAATGTCCAAATTCTATGGGAAGTGTTTCGTCAAACTTCTGTCACAGGGCAGAGCAGACCGTGCTGGGAGCTGTCTGTTGAATTTCTTTGAATATTTCTATGTGCTGGAGCTGTGTACAGCTAATCCTCAAGTGTTGTGTAAAGAGGCACACAGTGCTCCATAACTGAGTAATTTGCAGCCTAAAATGTTGTAGTGTGTTCAGTTCAGTGAAGCAGGGGTGGTCCTGCTCTTACTGGGCTGGCACGTGAAGGCTTTCCACGTAGCTTTATTTTCTGGAGGAACTGAACAGGCACCAAGGCACTCATCTGTCTGTAGTTTTCTTAGGCTGTTAGTTCTTCAGTTGTTTGTTCAACCCTCTTTTTTTGCAAAAGAGGAAGAGGATGGGTAGGGAGAGTATGGAGGTAAACCTGTTAATGGCCAAGAAGACTGTTCAGAACTCCAGAGTCCTTGGTCTTTGCTTGAAGCAACGAGAAACTTCCTAACAGGTTGCAAAACGAGCTTTGTTGTTGTTTGTCAGTGAACCTTGATAAGGTGGTCAAGTGTCACAGTATGGTGATTTCTTGTTTGTTTGTTTTCTTTTCCCTCCATGAAGCATCACTGCAGAAAATGTGGACAAGCAGTGTGTGGCAAGTGCAGTACTAAACGGTCAAGTTACCCCATCATGGGCTTTGAATTCCAGGTCCGTGTCTGTGATTCCTGTTTCGAGTCAATCAAGGATGAAGAGTGAGTATTAAGGAGGAGTAAAGTAAGACTGCTGAGGTGCAGAAGCACTCGTGCTTGCTCTGCATCCACACACAGCGGTACACAAACACGCCAACCTGACTCTCTGCTAATAGGCCACCTTTGCCTTGGACGCTCAAAGCGCTGCAATAGCAGAGATCCCTCAACTGGCTCTGCAAGCTGATTTGGATCAGATGTGCTATCACAACTTTTTTATCCACTTTCTCTCTTCTTTTCCATGAGCCCAGATCTAGAGTTGAAACATTTCTCTCAAGACTTCTGTGCAAGTAAAGGCTGTTGATTGTACTTAAAATTGCTAAATGGGTGGTTGACCATGCATCACGGCTGCCAGGATATATGCATTAGAGGGAAATCTATATGCATTAGTACACGTACACTTACTGAAGAATATTTCTGCAGGAATATTCTTCACAGCCCAACATTATTTTCGCCATGCAAACAAATTGGGTTAAACATCATTTGCTGTCTCATTAAACTCTTAGCAGTGAATGAAACCCCTTTTTATCTTCATATGAACAGCGCTTCACTGTTCACTGTCCTGTCACCTCCTTGGACACCTGGAGTGATAAAGTACTAAAGTAATCAGGTGCAAATTTTTTGGATGTTTGGGTGGGGTTTTGTTGTTTCTGTTCGGTGTTTTTGTTAGTTTGTTTTCTGAAAAGGATGGGTGCTGTGCCGTAGTTGACTCACTATAGCCAGCATGAAAAAAATGTGGCTGAGTTTGACTTTATAACGAGGAGTGGAATTATTTACTAATGAAGTGTCCCACTTCTGCTCTAGTATTATTAACAGTCAAGCTGCAGAAGGCCAGGAAACGTCACACCTGCATGACTACACAAGCAATGCCTTACCATGACTTGCTAATTTAATTCTGTCCCCTTTAATAATGGCACTGCAGTTCTCAGGACTAATGTATTAGTACTTGGGCAACTTAATTTTCTTGTAAGTTTATTTTGCACTGCTATAATGATGCCACCAAGCTTCATCTGATGGCTCGCTTTCCTCTGAATTGTTCTCTTGCAGTCGTACCTCCTTGGCAACATTTCATGAAGGAAAACACAATATTTCACACATGTCCATGGACATCTCCAGAGGGCTAATGGTGACTTGTGGGAGTGACCGGATTGTGAAGGTATTCATGTACCTCTGCTGTATTCATTAGAGAGATTTCATAGAGAACTAATGTTTGTGTATACTTTTTTCTTTCTGACAACTGTTGCTACAAAGCTAACTGTTGTGGCTCCACTGTATGGAGTCACGCTGTCAGAACTGGTTACTGGGGGTGTCCTCCGGACAAACAAAGCAGGCATCAGCAGTAGGAGAATCTGCCAGTGGCCTTGAAGATGGACATGATGAAACGTGCAGACTTGCTTTACTCTCGGCTCTCTGGCTTTTTGAAGCATTGCCACTAAAAGCCCTGGTTATGAGACAGTGACACGGAAATCAGACTGATGTAGGATCTTGCTGTGCTTAAGCTGCACGTCCTCCATGCGTGTCAGAACCAAGACTGTTCCAGTCTGTCCCTGTTGTTCTGTAAGCATGTTTAAAACAAACTGCACAGCACTTTTAAACGGACTCACAGAGAGCTGCTAGGAGACACTCTTGAGCCCTAAGTTTGGCTTTTGGTTTGTAAGGCTGGTATAACTCGTTATGGCGTTTTCCTCAAGTATATTTTAAACAGAATTTGTCACCCTATGTCCAGGGATGTCTTTGTTTTCTTCTGCGCCTTTTACAGAAACACCTCTTAGGTCTTACAATAATGCTGTGTAATTCTCTACAACATTTTCTTCCAGATCTGGGACATGACGCCAGTAGTTGGTTGCAGCCTTGCAACCGGCTTCTCTTCGCGCTGATCTCATACCTGACAGGTTCATGCACCTTATGTACAGCAATACGCACCGAACGAACGGAGTCCTTCTTAAGAATATTACAGCAAACACTGGTTGCTTGACTCTTCTCCTGCTGCTGTTCCAGGATGGACAGTCACCTTTGTAGAGCACAGCTTTTCTGTTGGGCTCACCAGGAATCTCCTTGGTGTGGAAGTGCAGTTTCGCAGCCTCTTGGACTAACGTAAAATAGCTCACCTGCAATATGACACCTTGATGAAAGGACCTGATTCTTGGTTTACATAAGTAGTGTTAACAATGTGCTGTCTCTGCTGATATATCTTGTACAGATACCTTGTAGCTAAAACGTTATCAGAGTAAAATGAGTGTAGTAAATTCAATTTGTGCAAATAGTAAAATAACTTATTTTCTCTTCCAAAAAGCGGTTCTGTAGAAATACTTTTGAGCAGTGACTGTCTAAACTGCCTCCAAAAGGTGTGTTGGTTATTCCTACGGAAGGAGGAGATACTTCAAAGTGGCAGGTAGCTTCTTTCAGATGAGATCGTAAGAGAACGTTTGATCACACAAGATTTCCTTTATTGGCTTTCTTGTAGTGCTTGTCTTCAAGTTCAGTTCTTAGTGAAGTCACTTTTGTGGGACAACTGTTCTGTTTAAGTAGCTGGTGAGTCTTGGAACAATTCTAGGCTCTCTAAGTAGTATTTTAGCATAGCTAATAAACTTCTGTAGTTCTTATGACAACATGCAGCCCGGCTACTGTACTTTAAAGACAGGCCATAGGTATGGGCCATGTACTCTGACAACTCTATAATGCTGTTAGAATGGGAAGCTAAGCAAATCTGCCTTGTTAAATGTAATGGCTAAGAAGAAATGGCCAGCTAAATTTTAGAGACTTTTTTCCTGTGGAAAGGCTGACGTTTCTTTAATGGTAGGGAACCTGTCTCGGCTGAAGTGCAGCATCAATTCAAATACTGGCTTGGTGTTACTTAAAACAGACAAATACTGAGCAATGATTACTGAGGTACACAACAGCTGCTTCTTTCCCCTGCACCTAGGTCTGTTAGTCCCGAGATGCCTGTATTGATCCTTTCCTCTTTCAAAGCCGAGAAGTATGAAGAGGAGCTGCGAGGCTTTTACGACTATGCAGTTGACATGTACAGGACATAACTACTGAGTTATTGTCAGTAAACTGGTCTGTCAGTTGTGTGAATTTGCTACGTTTGAACATTGTAAGGAGAACTTATTTTGAAACTTTGAAAGCTACAGTAATATGTCACAGAGCTTAAGCTTGGAGCTATTTAGATTTTTCTGAAAACAGGTGTGTATGTGTGAGCACAAAAAAAATGTGGGTAGGTCAGCTGAGAGAATACCAGAGAATACACCAGAATAGGCGGTGCTACAGCGCTGTCGAAGGTAACAGCCTGTTTCTGGCAGAGGACTTAAGGGTTAGACTGTCTTTCTTTACAGCAGCAATCAAGTGGTGCTCTGAGTGTAGCGAATTCAAGTTGTAGGTGTGTAACTTGACACTAATAATCTGCATCGGACCACGCTGTAGGCTGAAATAGGTGACAGTCATGGTATCCTTAATATGTCACTCACTTGCATTTTAAGCCAAAAAGCTGATAGTCTCTAAAGGGCATTAGAATCCAGAAAATGTTAGTTACTGGTATTTTGGATCTGGCTTTATCTACCTTTCCATGGGCCTTCTCTGGAAGTTTTGCATAGTCTTTTAATTTGCTAGGCTTTTTAGGCCACTGAAGAATAAACAAATCCCTCTTTTTGGAAATTTCAAAACTTGTCTTGCCTTCAATTTGGTATTTAGCACTTGTCACACTGATTTGATTCATCCCTCATTACATGCTGTATAGCTTATTGTTTTTTGTGAAGGCTTATTTCAAAGCTGTTGACAGAAAATCAGCTTGTACTGGGATGAAAAGTTTCAGCCTTCTGATCTGAAGGGGTAAACAAGCCCTGGTAATGCTTTGCGTTTACTTTCAGATTTATCTGAGTCTCGAAGAGAATGGAAGCCTTCTTCCTTGCAGCATGTAAGGCAGAACATGAGTTCCACTGCTGGAACTGTTTAAGATCCTACTGCGCTGTGGTAAGGAGGATCTAGGGTCATGAGTTAAGCTTGGAGCTTGATGTAGATGAGGGATGAATAGCATACTTTTCAAACCACACGTTCTGAAACTTGCACCAATGATGCCGATAGTGATACTCCTTTGCAGCTAGCGCTCCTGAGCTTCAGCTTTTTTTAGTTCTCGTTAGTGTGTGCCCCCTGCTCAGCACGGAGCTCCCCCCCTTCCCTGTGAATATTTCCTCTGCTTCTTGACAGCCACTTACCTTACATTATGGTTTTGCCACTAGATAATATATTCTCTACTACATAGTGTTAAACCTAAGGAATTTTCTATAATTGATATACTTAAGGATAGTGTCGGTTCAGATATAACAAGACAATTATGGCTGCTTAATCATTAGTTATTGAAGTATACCCTTGGTGTGGAATGAGTAATGCTTACAAACCACGGAGGAGATAGTGGTTTTGTTTATAAACAACTGCTTTGGAGGCACATACTCTGTCATGAAACTGAACATACTTCAACTATGGCAGCTCAAGTGTGCAATTGCTGAGAAGGACTGATTTGAGGCATTACTAATCTTGCTTGTACAACCCCCTTAATTGGGGCAGGGAACGGGAGCAAAGGGTCCTAATATGTGCTAATTCTTTACTAGTTGTATTTCTGTGCCCTGCATAGTGAAAAGATGCTAGATAAATCTGTCCTTTGCTCCTTCTTGTCTGTTTTTTAAACTTTGATTACATGTACAATAAAATATTTCTTGGTATTCACTTAGTCGATTTGGATGCTCCATCTTTTCTTCCATTCTGTGAATGCACAGCCCCCGTTGTATGCTCTGGCTCCTCCTGTACATGGCCCGTGTCCAAATTCTAGGTTGAAACATAGTCTTTGAAGGCTTTCTCTGCTTCTCTTGTGGCTATAAGGCAAGCTTTCTCAACAGTCTCTTAAGTGACTGCTATCAAATGATCCCACGGAGTTTTTTGTCTGCTGCACACAAAAGCTAATAGTTGAACGGATTCAAAGCCAGTGTTACTGGCTTTATTGCTTCCACAATGGAAGAAATGGTAATAATACCTATATAATTTCTTTTTCATAAAGTTAAATATGAAATATTTTATCAAATAATAAACTGAAATATATGGGGTCATTAGAAACTTTCCTTTCTGCTTCTATAGCACGAGCCTTCCTCCCCCCCACAACATACAGGCTCAGTTCCTTACTAATTGCCCTCCAACTCACTTGAGTCCCCAGGGTCTCTTACCAGTGTTACTGCGTCATCTGTGCTCACACACTGAAGTTGAACCATATTCTTTGACTTCCTCTCAATGCGTCGTTCTAATGCAGGTGGGACTGACTGGCTTGTCTGCAGACATGTGGTACGTTCATTCCTACATTGCTTTTTCTCACAAAGATATGGGTCGCCTTGCATCTAGTGGTTACACTTGAGTAAGTCCTGCCAGTTTTATTTTCAGAGGTCCAGGTGTGCTATGGATCATGCTTTCTGTGAGACACCCAGAGGCTTAGGTATCTCTTAGCATTTATCCAGCTGAAAACCAAGATAAATTTATGTAGAAATACAGGTTGACATTAGAATTTCCCACCTGTATTTTCATACATGGTCTTTCTATTTTTCCTTGGGAATGCTTTATATCACTGTGTTCTTCAGGAAACTGGCTTGCAATAACAAATGTTATGGAGGTGCATACTTTTCTCCCCTTCACTTTGTTTATAGGAAACAGAATAGGGTTTAACTTGCTCATAGCTTTGCTACTATAGCTGTCCTTCAAATAAAAAAGAGATCATGACTCTGTCTGTATTTATTTTTATTTCTGAAACCTGTTTTCCTTATGGTTTCAGGTGTTCTCAAAATCTATATGCATGCAACTGTCACAACTCTTAAGTTTTCATGAACTGAAGTGTACTTCTGTGTTGCTGATCAAGCGTGGGCACTGCTTGCTAATATTCCTTGATGCTGTTGCTGCTAAGCCATAGCTGTTTTCCTCTTCTAGTACTGTCCTTTGTCTTTTCTCTGTTCTAATTCATTTCTCCTTCTTTCTCTCTTAGTTTAAAGCTTTGTCCAGGTTTCCACCAGAGCAGCATGTCCATGTTGGATTTCAGGTCCTTGAGGTAGCAGCTCTTCATTGAAGCATGGCTAAACTGCTTTCCTGAGCCTCCTGATCTGTCAGAGTGAGCTGGTCTTGCAGTGGCTGACTTAAGGATGTCTGAGGTAGCAGACATGGAAGGTGAGTGTCTTTTAGGAAACAATTCATTACCTCATCCTCTGTTACAAGACTCGGTCCCATTAAGCACCCAAAGCAGTGCAACCATAACTTGCTCTTCTGTTTGCTGCAGCCTTTGCAGGCTGGAAAATACTGTAAAAGGCAATACCTCTTACAACCCTGAGTGTGTGGTGTCCCTAGCTAAGTGGTGGATGCCACAGTTTTTAATCTTGATGTTTGGTAGGGAAGGTCTGGGGTCAGCAGAACTCTCAAGAGTACTTTCAGGTTTTAGAAGATGTCAAGGTGACTGCTGAAAGGGTAGATGAATGTTGCACGTATCTAAATGGTATCTGTGGGACACTCGGTTTAAAACTTGATCTCATAGGCAGTATCTAAAAGAGGGAAACGAGGCTGTAAATTGTGTTCATTACACTCCTTTTATGGAGAAGAAATGCTGGGAATATAAGCACGCTTACAGGCAATGAGGAATGTTTGTGTCCTCCTACTTCACAACAGCAGTTCTCTTGTTTTACAGTGTGAATATACCAAGCCCTCTGCTGTTTCAGTACGTGGTCTAAATATGCTTAGATTTTGCAATGGAAAGAGAAAAATGAAAGAAACAGGGAAAGTGGATAGGGAA